ACTAACCGCTTGAGCTATGGCGCGGCCCTTTACCTTTACCTTTGTATATATAAGAAGATTCGTCACCGTGTTCGCAAAAGCGAGTGCACTGTGGCCACCAGAGCGCAGTGATTTCGCGCTGCATAGCGCAAAGACTCCTGACCCTCCCGACACTGCTTTTTGGCAATGGCTAGGTCACAATGCGACGCACGCTGGGTTCAGGGGGCTGTGATTTACTACAGACATCCGAACCACCGTCCCGTAACCCCACTCCCCTTTCATGAAAAGGATTACACCGCGAGACCCTGTTCTTTCTCCAGATAATATATTGCTGGAACGAGTTTAGCCAGGTTTAGTTCCACGACTTGTAAGAGGCCAAATTAATCAGAAAGGGGCAGTGGCTTTTTCAAACCACCAGTGCGTAATATACTGCCAAAAACATCCAGAAGTTCATGTTTTATTGGATAATTTGTAGGTCGGGTGGGATGGAGTCATAGTTCAAAGTCAGTTGAGATATACAGAAAGCTCTTCAGATTAATGGGTTTAAGGTCGAGTCAAATGTATTGGTTTATTCGACCCGTGAAAATAAATAAAACAAAAACTTAAAAAAAGAATTCATGGTAAGGCGCCTTAACACCTGATATTCAGTTGGTCAACAACTCCCCGGTTTTATGAAACAGCCATGGTTTCTGGACCCTATCTTAAGGCTGACGAATCAAGCCCACACTTTCACGAACTGTTAAGACCCGTTGTAATAACTTCGAAGTTTTCTTTTGAATGCATTTCTACAGTGCATGTTATATCCTCTGACTGCATATTCTGAATATAAATTACGTAGGTCCTCATTATGGTCATTTTACCATTATCTTCTTAATCTTACAGATTCCAATAGTTTCCCGAGCATGTTTTTTTTTTCGCAAATACCCTCTTCTATGCTTTTCCCTTCAATTCAAGGTTCACACCCATACAAAACAACAGTTAAAATTGTGGTTTCTCCTATCTAAAAATGTAAAGATTAAAATATACAGAACTGTACTATCACCTGTTGTCTTGTATGGTTACAAAACTTCGTCTCAAACCCCCCAAAGGGAAGATACTGAGGATATTTGAGATATTTACACCCTGCAGTAATGAAGCAGGAATATGTTCAGAAGGAAATGGGTCTGAAATATTAAAACAGGTCTTCAGGAAATCGGTTGTGAGAATATGAACAGGATTAACAGTGCAGAATTTGCGGGTTCTACAGCAAGTTTTCTTGACAGCATGGCTGTTAAGGGAACTTGTATGTTACGGTTCAACACTGCACTGTGGGTCTTCTCCAAGCTCTGCCATGTGCACACTCACAAGAAAACTCACTGTTATTACTGGAGAATAAGAAAAATGATTTATTTCCTCTCTTTATTCCAGAAAGATTCTAACAATTGACAGAAAGCAAGTAATAAAATCCGATAGAAACACAAGGTATATAATTCCCAACCCTTACACTAGGGGATACTGTGCCTTGCACCATTAACGTGTTGATTCCCCTGAACACTTGATCTGCTAAGACCAGAGAGAGGGTATCTAAGTTCTCTAAGAAATTTAATAATATAACTCTAGTATATGTCTCTGTTGCATTTCGCATGTTCACAGCATTCTGGTGTTTGCTACGTAAAACTGACGAGAACTCTTCACTCCTCGTCTACCTCAACGAGACAGATGCAGCAATACGAAGTCACTATTCACGCTGGAGCAAGTGTCAACACAACACACTATGTACTTCAGTACTGGGAGTTAAAAAAGTAAATACTGATCACAAATAAAGGAAAATAGTTGTACATGGAAAGATAGAAAATAAAATATGCAGAGTTCTTAATACTGGCTAAAAAATCATATATATAAAAATTTGCCATATTAGTCATAGCATGCTGAAAAATATATACAAACTGATTTTAGCAGGCAGTAAATTCAATATAAAAGTATTTCGATAAATGCATCAGAAAGCTTTCATAATTAGGCATGTGTGACTCGAGATTTAATTTCTATTGCACTATGATGTCAACATTATCATCATTATCTAAGAGGGAGGTGGGCCACATGTTCATCTGTTCCATAAGGCAGGCATGCCCACGACGAGGTAGAACTATCTTTGCAAAGAACAAAAATATTGTTTTGTGAAATGTGAAGTTCACAACGCAGTGGATATGAAGATTACTCTCTTCTGAGATGTGTCCTCTGGTAGAAAGTTACTGACATTTCAGAGGAACACAAGTCCATCTTCTGCAAGTCCGTCTACATGTCCGTAACTTTCCAAATGAGAACACGACACCACATCTCAGAATACAGTAATCTTTAAAAAATACTGTTTAGCTTCAACTCTGATGAGATAGCAAGGAAGGTTTCGTATTTTATTTAATGTAAAGTAAGTAAAAAGTAAGTAAAGCTGTCCCTGTAACAGGTCGTGGAGGCCCATAGGGTTGTGACATGTTGAGGCTCCTACATTATCTAGACAATCGACTCAAAGATGGCGGTAAGGTTGTCAGCCTTACGCGCCAGCTGCGCTTTACTCCCAAGGAAAATTATTTATTTAATTCCTGGTACTCATTTTTGTTAGAGGCTGAGTGAACCCCAGGACCATAGTGCGGCCAGAAAGATTAGGTCAATTGAAAAAAATCCAATGACCTCATTGACAATTTTTAACCGCAAAGGCTACACATATGCAAGAATGGAGGTATAGCTCCACTGTTCTTGACCTCAATACTTGATGGAAATGAGTAATCAGCTTCAAGACCCTGCCACCTCATTCCTGGTATCCACCGGATAGGAGGGGTATGCCCCAGAATGAAGTCTGGATGCCGGGAATTGAACCTGGGCCATCCAGTCTGTAGCCTGTCGCTGTACTGACTCCATGAAAATAAGCAACAAACTGGAAAGAATGTGAAGCTTTGTGTGTTATTTCAATGTGCAGTACTCCCTATTTAAATGGAGACAGTCAGTACAGCCAGTGTTATATGTGAAAGGTTTCTTTCCAGGAACCATTTCCAAAAGAGACAGGGAAGCACTTAAGAAACATGAAACGATTATTTAGAGGTCACTTGAGAAAGCACTTACTCACAAGGGGACTAGCAAAGTGTCTGGTATGAACAACCTCACATGTCCTGCATCACTGTGATGTTCTAGATGGGTTAAGATTCTATAACCAGGCGCTTCACTTCATAAAGACATGTAACTATCACAAGGCCTCAGTAAGCAAAGCCAGGATAGCTCAGCCAGTATAGTGACAGGCTACAGCCCAGCAGGGGCAAGAGGTTTGTCTCTATTCCAAAAAACCAGACTGGTTCTGATGCCCACCCAGTCTCCTAGCCAGTGGCTATCAGAGGCTCGCTTCCCTGGCTGGCACATGAAGCTGACCTCATGAATGGTGGAGTTATACCTCCACTCCCCCATACATCTTAATGGCTTGGCACATGGAAACTTCCCCGATTTTTACCTTTTAATATACAGCAAGTACTGAATTTTGTTTGAAGTGCAGGGCCGCTGGATAGCTAATTTAGAAAGGGGATGCATAACAGATTATAGTGGATTGAGACGCAAGGGCTGGTATTGCCTTCCCCCTTCAGCTGATCTTTTCTTGCTTTCTGGTCAACATTTCTCTCACTGTCAGCAGAAAAAGACACTGCATCAACTGTAGCATGTAACACATTAAACACCACCTATTTTCTTTCCTTTGTCACCATGAATCATCATTAACATTTCAATTACAATCCCGAAACATTTCCAAAGGGAAAGACTTAAAAGGGATGACATTTTTCTGGAAGTAAGCTATATGCAAACAGCATTTACAAACTCATGGTACTTTTTACAAAAATTTAAATTATGCCAGTAACAAAGCCTCCATCAAGAAGCAGAAAATTTTTCATTACATTAATTTTGCTTGCAAAATGCGGAACAGAAAGGTCAATAAACACTGCAGAAAGCATCCATTCAGTTACATACTTCTTATTATTATTCTTTCGACTTCCATTTTTATGGGGACCATCCATTTCTTGTCTCCCCAGAGTTCTTGTCCTCAACTTTTTCCTACATTCTTCATTCCTTTCTTTGGCCTGCATGAAGTCTTTCCTAACCCTTTGCTTCCATTCCGATCAAGCTTTCCTGTTTGGCATATTGCTTCCTCAGTTGGCAGTTCATCTAAAGACACATGTCGATAACTCAACATTATGCAGCATTGGATTCTCGGATGACAGTTAATATGAACTTGAAGGGACAAAGGTAAAGTTGTCTCTGTGCTTAACTAATTAAGCACTATGCCATGAATATGTATGGGGGAGTGAATGTATAGATCCACATTTTCTTGACCTCAGCACTAGTTGGAGGTGAGTGGTTGGCTTCACGCTCCACTGACTTTACCCCAGGGGAAAGAACCCCCAGTACCCATTGGACAGGAGGCTGGGTGGGCCGCAGAGCCGGTCTGGATGACATGGAGAAACGAAAATTGTGGTCCCCACCGGGACTCGAACTCTGACGCCTTTGTTGCCCAGCCCATAGCCAGTCACTATACCGACTGCTACAAACTTTCTACGATATGTTGACTGAAACAAATTGATTCTGCAGTACCTAAAACATCTGAGACAGAATCATAATCAACACACGATGGGCATGAAAACGGCCACACCACAGAAGGAATTTCCTTCTGCAAGACTGCTCAATCGAGGTAAGACATACTCTCAGAGGTGTTCTAGACAGTCTACCTGCTGAAACAATGTGGCATGGATAGGCAGAAACCTATTCCTACAAATGTCTTGATTATATATGACAAGGCAAGTATGTATGTAGGCAGGTAAAGGGAGAAAATAAAAGTAAAGTAAAAAAGTAAAGCTATCCTTGTACCAGCCCGTGAAGGCGCTTTACTCCCTGGGAAAATTATTTAATTAATTCCTGGTACTCATTTCTGTTAGAGGCTGAGTAAACCCCAGGGCCTAGGTGGCTGGAAGGATTAAGTCAATTGGAATAAATCCAATGACCTCATCGGGACTTGAAACCGCAACCTTCTGGGCTTGTAGCATAGACCCTCAACCAACGATGCTACCGCGTGCCCCGGGAAGAAAAAAGTAAAGAACAAAAAGTCATGGATTACAGCAAACCCTTCCTGATGCTTGAGTTGGCTGACACTTACTCTGTGCATACTACTGGTAATCGTACATACCAACCAACAGTTAGTGTCTCCACAAGGACACAACACAACACACTACAGCCTGCAACTCTGAGTTCAGCTGTGCACCAACAACCAAGCTGACACACGCTGGGATGAGATGCGTATGTTGTCGTTCTGGAAGCTAAGATGGAAGAAGGTAGGCAGGAGGCGATTTACCTTCATCACATATGTGCACCCCTCAACTATTGCTGTGTTGCTGGTACATAGGGTGCTGCTGAGGTGAATGATGTTGTGGAGGTTGCTGCGGGAGGTGCTGATTGTGTGGGGGCGGCTGCTGCTGCTGTTGAGGTGACTGCTGGTATGGTACCACCATCACTTGAGGTGGTGGTGGAGGTGGAGGAGAAGGCCCGTCATCTGGATGGTGTCCTTCGGCTTCATACTTACCTCTCTTGAATCGTCCATACAAAGATGAATAAGGTAAATTATAATGGATGGCTGCTTGGTTAATACTCATATGTCCAACACGAACAGCTTCCAGGGCCTCTCCCATGGCGTCTTCTGACCACGGAGTTGGATTTGAACGTGACAGCTCTATGCCTTCTCTCTTGCAACGGCCATATAATGTTCCAGTTGGGATACCAAACTCTGTTGATGCTCTCTGGACTGATGTGGCCCCTGAACGGATGGATTCTAAAGCTCGTTCCAGGTCATCTGGACTCCAGGTAGTAGGTGCTGCGTTGAACGGTGCAGCTAAACGGATTCCCTCACGACGGGCTATCTTGTACAGGGTGCTGCTTGGTATACCTGTAATGTACCAATGGTACTACACATAATATGAGAGGAAATGTAAGTTTATGGCATTTATAAATGTGCTCTTTACAGAAATTTTAGTGTAAAAGGGGACATGATTCATATGAATCACAACATTTTGAATTAACTGAAGTATTGGTCAATTCTTATGGTACACCACCAAGTTTGCAGCTGAGAACCAGTGGGCCAGACTACTGCCCCCTTTCCCATCATAAAAGAAATACAAGGATTTCAAATTTACTGATGGCAGATTTTATGTAACACTGCAGATGCAAATGGAAAGAATATATTTTATTGGGGGTGTGGGTTAGATGTGATAACGCTGCTAAATGATAACAGACCTTTTTCCAAGTTACGATTTCTTGAAAAAAAAATTGCTTGCAGTTCAAATGGTATATGATATGAGAATAATAAACTAGGAAAGAAGTGGCCTAATTTCAGTTATTATCCTGGCAATCATGCAGAGGGACTGTGGAAAACAAAGAAAAAACTTCAGCAAGTAATAAGAAGACACTAGTGTGTAAAACCAGAAAGACTTACAAATTAAACTTACCATACGCTTTACTAGCTTTGTTGGCAGAAATTGTTCCAGTTCGTAACGCTTCCAGTGCATTGTTAAGATTTTCTTCTGTCCACGATTTTGTGGGGCCTTCCTTTTTGGGTGTGTCAATGCCCATACGATGGGCTCGCTGCCACAGCGTGGTGGAAGGAATACCGTAAGTTGCGGACGCCTTAGTTAAACTCATGTTGTGGTTCCGCAGGGCATCCAGAGCCTGTTCCATGTCCTCTTGAGACCATGTCTTTGGTCCACCTTTCCCAGCATCACTGCTCACATCTATGAGAAAGAAAGTAAAGGTAAAGCTATTCCTGTAACAGGCTGTCGAGGCTCCCACATTTTCTAGACAAACAGCTCACAGGTGGCGGTGAGGTTGTCAGCCTTATGAGGTGGTGATCCTTTATCCCCAGGAAGATTCCTGGTACCCAATTCTGTTAGACTCAGTCAACCCCAGGGCCATAGTGTGGCTGAAAGGATTAGGTACACTGAAAAAACCCATTCATTGGAACTCAAACCCACAACCTTCCAGCTTGTAGCATATGTTAAAGTCATAATCCACATCCTCCTTGCATGGGGTGCTACAAATTTTTCAGCTATTTGAGGTTCTCATGGTGCTTACTGAAAAATTACTGTCTTTTCGATTGCAATGTGTAATATGGTAGATTGTTACCAATGTTTCAAAGGAACCTGAGAGCTCCATATCTTTTACCCTGAAGACAAAGCCAGCAAATTCCTTAAAGATGTTGAATCTGCCATACTACATGATGCAACATCCCAGAAGACAGCAACTTCTAGCAGCATTATGTATTACTGCAGGGGTTCTCTGGAATTATTAGTCATCATTTCATGACATTGTCTCAACTGCGGATGTTATGTGGTGCCAAATGGGATGGGAAAATTCAACCGTTTGGGTGCAACGACAGCTTTGTAAATCTGACGACATACTTACCTGAATGACCTGATGACGATGGTATAAGCCCCAGGAGTTCCGGTGTTATCATCATGGTGTGCATTGTGTGTTCATCTTCACCCACACTTTGCTGCAATAGACCAGAACCATTGAGGTTCTGGTAGGTGGGACTCTGGAGAAATGCCCAAAAAATTACAGCTATATCAAACATTTCTCTATTACAATTAGTACATAAAAAATGGTATAATATAGTGAACCACATAATTCTCTTCAGGGCTTGAAAAATATTATCATCTGCTGTCCTGAGGTGAGCTGATTTTATGAATGAGCAATGAGAAATTCACAAGTCATTTATACCGCAATGCAGAAGTGGCACATACACAGGGAAAGCAGGACCCATCTAGCCTACAGACACCTAATTTCCAATGCAGATTCCTTTACCTCCAAGTAAAAATACAGCAGCCAGTGCTGTAGTAGTGTGAGATTTTAATTTCTATTTCCATATTATGTTAATCAACTGTTTCAACCATAATTTTTTTAATTAAAGTTAACGCATTCACTGCTAGGCACTTAAATGGCTCTAAAAGTTTGTAACAATGGCACATTAGTACAATTATTATGTTTTTGGACATTAACCATCGTCCTGTTTATTCTTCAAAACACGTTTTGGAGACTGGAGTCTGTCTCCATCTTCAGGTAAAACCTACCAACTAGGAGACAGAATCCAGTCTCCAAAACACTGTATTTTGAAAAGAAACAGGATGGTATTTAGATAGAGACAAGATGATGAATAAAATCCAAAACATAACAGTTGTACTTAAATGGCTGCTGTAAACATTGGGGGCAGTCACTTTACATTGTGTGTTATAAAAATAACATGTTTTGGCACCACAAACAAGTGCTTTTATCAACTGTGACAGTCAGTTTGGTGATTCTCAAGTGATTCACTTGGAAATGGTATAGATAATTGGGTTACCTATAAAGAATGGCACCACAAAGTTTTACAGCATTAAACACTGTGATACCATTATGGCGAATGACATGGCGCTTCTGTTGTGCGACCTATGTGCTGTCCTGCGGCTGGCACAGGAAGTACGGTCAGAGTGGCCACAATGGTACAACTTCACTGTCATCTATCAGACTTCTAGGCAACTATTTGAAGCCCAGCATGAACATGAGATAGATCTGGCAGTGAATGTACTAGCTGGGAGTAAAAAGCAAAGCTATCCCTGTACCAGGCCATGAAGGCCCATAGGGCTGTGAGATGTTGAGGGTCCCACATTATCTAGACAATCGGCTCAAAGATGGCGGAAAGGTTGTCAACCTTAAGCACTTGCTGCGCTTTACTCCCCAGGAAAATTATTTGTTTAAATACTTTCTCTTATGCTATGTATAGTGTGACCAGGCAAAGGAAAGGAACAATCATTTATATGTACGTGTATATGCAGTGATATACATTCAAATTACAACAGTTCATGTAAGTACAGGTTAACACAGTTTGTTTTATGACATTTTAAGTATCTAGACTATACAGTGTTGAATTGCAGGACTCGTGAATTTGTATGGATTTCAACATAAGTGGTAACGGCATAATCATGGTACTATCCCAGCATCTGTATGGAGGAACCAAGCAAAACAATAGAAAACCTAAGTCAGCACAGTCAGTGTTGTGGCTGAGAGTCAAACCAAGCACCTCCTAAATACGAGTTTAGAATATTACTGCTATATCAGCCTACTTAGTCTTACACTTCACGTGTACATGCATGCATAAAAGAGTAGGGAATGTCTGTACTAACTGGGCAACTATACGGACTCTGCCCCATGTAGTTAAGTTACATACAAATGAAATGCACCGACTCTGTATTATTACCAACCTGCATACCTGCACACATATCCCACTGTCAATGTATACAAACATCTTTCTCTCTACAATATAAAACTGTAATGATGCTTCTTGAGATTATGGTAACTTGATGGGCCAATGGAGTGCCATATGTCCTGGTTACAGGTAGCGTTAGTTTCTGACAACATACTCTCATCATCAGCTACTGGTCATCTGTATAAAATATGAGTATTTATACAAACTTCTTGATACCCATATTTTGCATTTATTCAGAATTGGACATTATGGCTGGATTGTGACTACATATATACTTATGTAGCAGTTGAGAAACTTGATATTAATGACAATGGCGGTGCTATTTCTTTCCAAAGGCTTTCTGATGACAAATGCATTTTCAGTTCAGTGAACAGGCAGGACTTCATATCACTTTTCAAGTTCTGATTAATTTCCGCAAACGACAATCGTTATAATGACAGTGGTTGACATATTTACTTACTCATGGAGCTGAGCCCTTCTTGAGGAGCTGCCAATTCTGCAGCTACTCAAGAATTTCCCAGCATTTTATGGAACCCGAAGGTTCATCACCGTGTTCACAAGAGCCCTCCACTGGTCCCTATCCTGAGCCAGATCTATCCAGTCCATACCATCACATCCTCTCTCCCTAAGATCCATTCTAATATTGTTCACCCACCTATGCCTTGGTCTTCCCTGTGGTCTCTTTCCTTCTGGCTTTCCCACCAATATCCTATACCCATTCGGGCTCCCCTATTCATGCTACATGACCTGCCCACCTCATCCTCCTTGACTTGATCATGTGGTTGACATACAGGTCTAGTATTTCAAGGGTTCCAGGTTTGATCCTAGCCACTCCCATTAATACAAAGTACAATCAACAGAACCAAGAAACAGAGCCAACTCCTGAATATACTGCTGACAGATTGCAGCTCTAAATTACTTTACAGCGCCTTTAGGTCTGAGTAAGAGAGAAGAAAAGATAAAAGAGTAAGGGGGAAGGAAGACAGTGAGATTCAACGTCAACGTCAGAAGGGGAGTTAGTGGAGTGCAGTTTCAGATCTGGCATGAAATACTAACAATGAATTACTGAAGAGATTTATTGTGGCAGAAAATAATATACTTACCCTATCAGACATGTGACTGTCAATATCAATTGTTTCTGCTTGCTCCATTGCTCGCAATGTCTCAAACTTGACCTTTACATTCTCCTCATCTCTAGCACCTTCTGATGTATCTGCAACAGAAACGTCTAGAACATAAAGAAAGACAACATTAAAATCCAAAAAATCACTGACATATAATTCATAATATATACACATAAAGTAAAGTAAAAGTAAAGCTATCCCTGTAAGAGGCCGTGAAGGCCCATAGCGTTGTGAGACGTTGAGAGTCCTACATTATCTAGACATTCGGCTCAAAGATGGAGGTAAGGTTGTCAGCCTTACGCGCTGGTTGCCGTTTACCCCTGAAGAAGATTCCTGGTACTCATTTCTGTTAGAGGATGAGTCGACCCCAGGGCCATAGAGCGGCTGAAAGGATTAGGTAACCTGGAAAATATCCGATGACCTCATCGGGACTTGAACCCGTGACGTTCCAGCTTGTAGCATAGACCCTCAACCAACTATGCTACTGTGTCCCTCTGCTATATATATATATATATATATATATATATAAAAACAAACTATTCAAGCTGTTCAATTAAGCAATTAAGATTGAATGAATAATGAAATATTGCCTGAAACTGAAAAGGAATAGAAAGAAAGACACAGAATAGGACGAAGGAGTTTTTTTCTTATGGTTTATTTTACAATGTTGTCAGCATGTAGACTCTATTCCAGATGTTAAGGTATTAACAAGCATTGAGTCTCAGAGGGATGACCACTCACCACTGGGTCAATGGGAGTTGAAGGGAAAAAAGTGTAGGGGGACACAAGGGCACTGGATGTATAGCCTAAGCGATGGACAAGGCAGACAGATGGGTCCATAAGTGTTAAAAAAAACACACACACACACACACAGAAGCCACTTATTAGCAGTGTGGCTCCCTGGTTATGGGGCTGTAAGACTGATGTCCCAGAATGACACCAATTTTTAAAGCAACAGCTTCAGAGCCATTGGCTGGAATGTCAATGGAAGCCTTCCTCAATACCCATGGGGTATATTTTCCACTTCATCACCCAGAACAATCTGCAAACATGTTTCTTTTGAACAATTCTCATACAAGTGAACGTACCTGTTAAGTCTCTGGTTCTGTCATGGGCTGAGCACTCGCTCATATCCATGTCTTTGACTAGTGTGGCTGCCGGAGCGGGGGGCTGGGCCTCAGGGGGGATGTCCACATCTGTTGCGTTGCTGGAACTGTGGCTTGTCCCTTCCATTACGATCTGTGGTGGCTGCGAGAGCCCCCCGTGGGGCGCCATCACCCCCGCTGTCGGCACAGCCCCATTCCCCAACTGCCATGAAACACATAACACCAACACAAGCTTTGATAACCATCGGCCACAATGATGCCATACTTTTTCTGTTCTGGTGGGGGCCAGACAGTCTATGATAATATAAAGTTCTCAGTTTTAGTTAACAATTATCAAAATGCACTATGTGATAACATTACCATTCCTAATTACAGGTTTAACTTCTATTGCCACTTTGATAAATCCTTGAAACTAGTTCCAAGATCTAACCCTTCAAACTGCAGTCATTATATGAAGCACATGCCTTAGAATTCAAGAACTCTACATTCTGCCAGCAGTGTGCATCTGCCTGTTCTGTATGACCTTCACAAGTCTTTGTAATGGAGAGAGCTTGTTTTCTGACGTAAAAGGTAAACAGGTAAAGCTATCCCTGTAACAGGCCGTGAAGGTCCATAGGTTTGTGAGACGTCAAGGCTCCCACATTTTCTCTAGATAATCAGCTCACAGATGGTGGTAAGGTTGTCAGCCCTACATGCCGGCCACCCTTTACTTCCCAAGAAGATTCCTGGTACTCATTTCTGTCAGAGCCTGAGTTGACCCGAAGATTATAGTGTGGCTGGAACGATTAGGAAAACTGAAAAAAAAAATCTGACTCATCGGGACTTTAACCCATGACCTTCTGGCTTGTAGCATAGTGCCTCAACCAACTATGCTACTGCATGCCCCGTTTTCTGTGAGGTAACAAATGATTTTTTTTAATATTATTCAGCTGAACCCCAGGCTTCAGATGATTAATTCATGGTTTTACTTGTATAAATGACTGCTGCACTGCCAAAGACTGAGCTGGAAGTGGAGCGCTGTAGTTATGAGCAGCACACAAACGTTCATTTCTGTGCGAGGTTTGAATGTAAAACCCCACCTTTCCCTCGACCCACAAAAAACTTCAGGATTCTTAGCAAAAAAAAAAAAAAAAAAAAAAACATAAGGCATGACAATGAAAGGAACAATCTTTATGCTCTTCAATCTTCATGAGCTAAGGTTTATCTTATTTTCTGTCTTGTATTTCACTGTCTACTTTACAGATTCTCAATTAATTCTTCTAGAGTGAAATGTTAAAACTTTATTTACATTGGAATTTTGTCTACAAGATGCCCCACGAGCACCCACAAAATACAAGGGAACACAACACTGCTCGTTTGCTTCGGCGCTACTGAGAAATATTTATTCACATTTAAGAAACAGTCTTGCAAACAGAATGAGCATAAATACCATCTTCAAGAATGAATGGTCACTCCCTTTAATAAGATTATACCACAAACAATTCACCTTTTCTCTTTGAGTGGCAAAAACTTCGCACGTTTCTGCAGGCTTGAAGGATGGATATAATAACGCTATTTTCAACATTATATACAGATTCTGTATGGGCTCCATGTACATCCCAATATCTTCTGGGCACTTATGCCCTAATATGGAAACAGCAGTTCCTCCGAAACACTGATGCAGCCATCTTCAGTACAGAAGAAATTGGATGAATGTTGATGCCTCTACCTACCCTGAAGACAAAGCTGTGGGTTCCTCTGCAATACTGGCAAAAATTAGGGCCACAGTGAGAGTCAACGCAATGCCCCAGTGCTCATCTTGAGAGGAGTCAAACTAGTGCTTATTGTAAAAACAGTTGCTGAACATGACTAAGTTATAGCCTGCCTCTTTAAGCTTGTGCACTTCGTGAGGTGTTTGTTGTTCAATTCTGTGCTTGAAAATGTAAAACTACTATTAAGGAACAATATGAATGGCCTTACATCATGATTCACGTTCACTTCTTTAAACCTGGAACAGTGTGCCAGCCCACTTGGGCACTTCAACTTAACTATTAAACGTATGAGCCTACATGGTATAATCGAGAAGATTACAAAGTTAATTTTTACAGCCATACAAACATCAAATCTCAAAATCCATTACAATATGGTAAGAAATGATGGACAAACAAGAAGTTCCAGGTAAAATACAGGGTGATTCAGAAAGATGGACACAATTTCAATTGGCTATATTTCCTGAATTATGTGTTGCATTTGAATTCTGTAAATTACACTTGATTATACATACATGGAAGTTTATAGATGTTCAATATGCCCCCCCCTCCTCCGGCTGCACGGATAACATCCAGACGGTAGCTGAATTCATCCTACACTTGATGACAAATATCTTGCATCACTGAGTTCACCGCAGCTGTGATACAGTTTCTTAGGTCATTCAAATTTGTGGGAAGAGGTGGTACACGCCACACAGTTGTTTGCGATAGTCCAAGTTCTCTACTAGCACTACGGGTTGACTTCAGTGGGCTGCGCTCAAAGTTCACTCGAATGCACTCCACGTTCTCCTCCGATACACGCGATCGGCCTGGGACGCAGTGATGGAAGGCACTAGCGGTAGTACTAGAAACTTTGTAACAGCCTCTTTCAAATGTACTTTACAGAATTCAAATGCAACATACAGTTCAGGAAATATAGTCAATTGAAATTGTGTCCATCTTTCTGAATCACTCTGTATATGAGCCTTAATTTCCTGCAAATGGTTTGAATTTATATCAAGTGGCTATGGCAAGGAATATAAAATAATGGTTACACAATTTAGTGATTCTTTTCCAGGTGTAACTTCCGCTAGCATACATTTTCACTGTATTAAATTTACCTCAAAATTTTGCATAGCCTCTATCTTCATTGCTGTAAATGAAGTTACTGGACATTTACAATCTACTTCGACATTAAACTGCATAAAGGTCATTAACTATTGCTATGAAATAGGAATTCTTGTGGCATCTCAAGAAAACTGTATGGTTTTACTGCATTCTTTACCGAGAGAAGAACACTGCATGTGGAGGCATGTCTGTCCACGACCCAGCATCAGTGTTTAAAATGCTGGACAGATGTCCGAGAATTCTGATTCTGAGCCATACTGATCCCAAACAAAGTCTACCTTAAAACCACAAATAAACTTCCCATGTACATCATAAACTGTTCATAAATCTCAAGTCTATGTGTCTGCCTGTGTTGCAGGATGAAGTGGCAGCAAACGGTAATATACACAAATTATGCACTGTAATCATTGAAAGTTCAAGTCAACTTCTGTCATAAAAAGCGAGTTTCAGTTTACTAATAAAAAATGGCACAAGTAATTGATAGAAGATTTAAATAAGGAATATACAAGGAGAGGTGGACAGGAATCGTGTTTCAGTTATTGACATAAATTAAAATATCTCCTCTCCTGTGATTCATCTCTCCAGCAATCTTGCAGCTTGTATGAAACATAGTATCTTTCTTCAAGCGGGTTCGTCAAAATAATGCGATTTCTTAAAACGAGTTCCCAGGTGATGAAATCATATTCCAACCAGAACCTCACTGTCACATACATGCGTGAGGATAGTGAAAAACTGTCATTATTTTGGGTACACTACTATGTTTATTGAAACTTTCAGCAATAGTTTCTAGTTATGTGGCACCAAGCAAGGCTGTTTCTACTTTGTCATGATACCCTTTTGTAGACTGGACCATTTATCAGCCTCTGTTCGAACAGGAGTAACAGTGTCCTGCACAGAGACGTGCCACTACTCTCGACAGGTTGCTATCAAATTCTGACAGTTTTCTAGTTACTTTGGCAGTGGGATCCTGAAGAAAATCCTTTGCAAGGTTTTGTCCATGTGTTGAATGCCAATTCTGTAGTTTACTTAATACTGACAGTAACAGAACACATGGTTTCAAATGACTGGATGACAGTGAATTGGAACTGACGTGGAAAAAAGTGTTCACAGCTCAATTCTGGTACAATACAAACATTTGCCCGTAATGACTCAGCCAAACCATGAAACATCCATCTGGACAGTCAGTGTGCTGTCCAAGATTTGAATGGGCACTGGCCAAATGCGAGTCATAAGTCAGGCTATAATCTGTATATGTAAACCTAATGTGTCAATGAATATGTAGACCCATGTGGTAAATGTATCATAAAAAAGTGCTGTTTTCGAGCGATCTCTATCCAGGGCTGGGAACTTGATATGTGGGAAATATCTCCACATACTGAAACTAACATTACAACTGAGCTCGAGTAACAGAACACAGTTTTGCCTTCACTGCTGCCTTAATAATACAGTAAATCAGTACCAATATATCGTAACATTGCAGATTTATAAATAATGGCATATGGTAACAGACGCTTTCACTGCAAGAAGACTGTCACATGCAAATACATGTTCTTCATCACGAGGAAACTAACAATTTGTAAGAGGCATGAGGTAATATCAAGAGTGAAACTTCATGACGACCACAGAGTTGAACCTCTTTAGTGTACACTCACATGTCGACTACTTTTAAAATCCTTGTAAAATATTGGGGATTTATATTTGCTCACTAGGCTCAACACACACAAACTAAATTATACTAAATCTGCCCCTCTGAACTGTTGGAAAAATATAAAGTATGTGTATATATGACAAAAAAAGATATTTCTATTTTGCTAATACAATGTCTGTTTGTAAACTGTACACATCAAAATATTCTGCAAGAAAAAAAGGCATAAATAGTCACTGAATTGTAAAGATATACAAAGTAACATCTATTATTACATTATCATCCGCAGCTCCTGAAGGGCTCCATTTGCTTGGTGATGGTTTACACTAATGTACTTCGAGTTCCCAATGAAGTCCCTACATGAAGAAACACAAATTACTCATGCACTTTCAACATTACAAAAGATAACAGTAACATACTGGAAAATGTTAGCAGATGTCCATGCAAAACCATGTACTAGAAAAAGGCTGAACAATGCCAATAAGCCCTCTCAAAAAAATCATGCTAAATTCAGATGACAAAACAATATCCGAGATTTATAAATCATTTCTGAAAGAAGGTTAAACAAGACATGATTACATTAGTTATGTCCGAGATCAAGTACAGAGTTTACTTGTCCCGACACCAAAATAATTTGAATAATGATTTTAAACCTATTAGAGAATGTGGAAGCTTTTGTAAATTTGGTAACACTTCTTCATACTTTCAGAAATGAGAAATAAA